TAGTTCAGGCGGCTCCACAGCCTGGTAGTTCAGGCGGCTCCACAGCCTGGTAGTTCAGGCGGCTCCACAGCCTGGTAGTTCAGGTAGCTCCCCAGGCTGGTAGTTCAGGCGGCTCCCCAGGCTGGTAGTTCAATTGGCTCCCCAGGCGGGTAGTTCAGGCAGCTCCCCAGGCTGGTAGTTCAGGCAGCTCCCCAGGCTGGTAGTTCAGGCAGCTCCCCAGGCTGGTAGTTCAGGTGGCTCCCCAGGCGGGTAGTTCAGGCAGCTCCCCAGGCTGGTAGTTCAGGCAGCTCCCCAGGCTGGTAGTTCAGGCAGCTCCCCAGGCTGGTAGTTCAGGCAGCTCCCCAGGCTGGTAGTTCAGGCAGCTCCCCAGGCTGGTAGTTCAGGCAGCTCCCCAGGCTGGTAGTTCAGGCAGCTTCCCAGCCTGGTAGTTCAGGCAGCCCCCCAGGCTGGTAGTTCAGGCAGCTCCCCAGGCAGGTAGTTTAGGCAGCTCCCCAGGCTGGTAGTTCAGGCAGCTCCCCAGGCTGGTAGTTCAGGCAGCTCCCCAGGCTGGTAGTTCAGGCAGCTCCCCAGGCTGGTAGTTCAGGCAGCTCCCCAGGCTGGTAGTTCAGGCAGCTCCCCAGGCTGGTAGTTCAGGCAGCTCCCCAGGCTGGTAGTTCAGGCAGCTCCCCAGGCTGGTAGTTCAGGCAGCTTCCCAGCCTGGTAGTTCAGGCAGCCCCCCAGGCTGGTAGTTCAGGCAGCTCCCCAGGCTGGTAGTTCAGGCAGCTCCCCAGGCTGGTAGTTCAGGCAGCTCCCCAGGCTGGTAGTTCAGGCAGCTCCCCAGGCTGGTAGTTCAGGCAGCTCCCCAGGCTGGTAGTTCAGGCAGCTTCCCAGCCTGGTAGTTCAGGCAGCCCCCCAGGCTGGTAGTTCAGGCAGCTCCCCAGGATGGTAGTTCAGGCAGCTCCCCAGGATGGTAGTTCAGGCAGCTCCCCAGGCTGGTAGTTCAGGCAGCCCCCAGGCTGGTAGTTCAGGCAGCTCCCCAGGCTGGTAGTTCAGGCAGCTCCCCAGGCTGGTAGTTCAGGCAGCTCCCCAGGCTGGTAGTTCAGGCGGCTCCACAGCCTGGTAGTTCAGGCAGCTCCCCAGGCTGGTAGTTCAGGCAGCTCCCCAGGCTGGTAGTTCAGGCGGCTCCACAGCCTGGTAGTTCAGGCAGCTCCCCAGGCTGGTAGTTCAGGCAGCTCCCCAGGCTGGTAGTTCAGGCAGCTCCACAGCCTGGTAGTTCAGGCAGCTCCCCAGGCTGGTAGTTCAGGCGGCTCCACAGCCTAGTAGTTCAGGCGGCTCCCCAGGCTGGTAGTTCAGGCGGCTCCACAGCCTGGTAGTTCAGGTGGCTCCACAGCCTGGTAGTTCAGGTGGCTCCACAGCCTGGTAGTTCAGGCGGCTCCCCAGGCTGGTAGTTCAGGCGGCTCCACAGCCTGGTAGTTCAGGCGGCTCCACAGCCTGGTAGTTCAGGCAGGTCCCCAGGCTGGTAGTTCAGGTAGCTCCCCAGGCTGGTAGTTCAGGCAGCTCCCCAGGCTGGTAGTTCAGGTAGCTCCCCAGGCTGGTAGTTCAGGCGGCTCCACAGCCTGGTAGTTCAGGCGGCTCCACAGCCTGGTAGTTCAGGCGGCTCCACAGCCTGGTAGTTCAGGCAGGTCCCCAGGCTGGTAGTTCAGGTGGCTCCCCAGGCTGGTAGTTCAGGCAGCTCCCCAGGCTGGTAGTTCAGGCAGCTCCCCAGGCTGGTAGTTCAGGTGGCTCCCCAGGCTGGTAGTTCAGGTGGCTCCCCAGGCTGGTAGTTCAGGCAGCTCCCCAGGCTGGTAGTTCAGGCAGCTCCCCAGGCTGGTAGTTCAGGCAGCTCCCCAGGCTGGTAGTTCAGGTGGCTCCCCAGGCTGGTAGTTCAGGTGGCTCTCCAGGCTGGTAGTTCAGGCAGCTCCCCAGGCTGGTAGTTCAGGTGGCTCCCCAGGCTGGTAGTTCAGGTGGCTCCCCAGGCTGGTAGTTCAGGCAGCTCCCCAGGCTGGTAGTTCAGGCAGCTCCCCAGGCTGGTAGTTCAGGTGGCTCCCCAGGCTGGTAGTTCAGGTGGCTCTCCAGGCTGGTAGTTCAGGCAGCTCCCCAGGCTGGTAGTTCAGGCAGCTCCCCAGGCTGGTAGTTCAGGTGGCTCCCCAGGCTGGTAGTTCAGGTGGCTCCCCAGGCTGGTAGTTCAGGCGGCTCCCCAGGCTGGTAGTTCAGGCAGCTCCCCAGGCTGGTAGTTCAGGCAGCTCCCCAGGCTGGTAGTTCAGGTGGCTCCCCAGGCTGGTAGTTCAGGTGGCTCTTCAGGCTGGTAGTTCAGGCAGCTCCCCAGGCTGGTAGTTCAGGTGGCTCCCCAGGCTGGTAGTTCAGGCAGCTCCCCAGCCTGGTAGTTCAGGCAGCTCCCCAGGCTGGTAGTTCAGGCAGCTCCCCAGGCTGGTAGTTCAGGCAGCTCCCCAGGCTGGTAGTTCAGGCAGCTCCCCAGGCTGGTAGTTCAGGTGGCTCTTCAGGCTGGTAGTTCAGGTGGCTCTTCAGGCTGGTAGTTCAGGCAGCTCCCCAGGCTGGTAGTTCAGGTGGCTCTTCAGGCTGGTAGTTCAGGTGGCTCCCCAGGCTGGTAGTTCAGGTGGCTCTTCAGGCTGGTAGTTCAGGCAGCTCCCCAGGCTGGTAGTTCAGGTGGCTCTTCAGGCTGGTAGTTCAGGCAGCTCCCCAGGCTGGTAGTTCAGGTGGCTCCCCAGGCTGGTAGTTCAGGCAGCTCCCCAGCCTGGTAGTTCAGGCAGCTCCCCAGGCTGGTAGTTCAGGTGGCTCTTCAGGCTGGTAGTTCAGGTGGCTCTTCAGGCTGGTAGTTCAGGTGGCTCTTCAGGCTGGTAGTTCAGGCAGCTCCCCAGGCTGGTAGTTCAGGTGGCTCTTCAGGCTGGTAGTTCAGGTGGCTCCCCAGGCTGGTAGTTCAGGTGGCTCTTCAGGCTGGTAGTTCAGGCAGCTCCCCAGGCTGGTAGTTCAGGTGGCTCTTCAGGCTGGTAGTTCAGGCAGCTCCCCAGGCTGGTAGTTCAGGTGGCTCCCCAGGCTGGTAGTTCAGGCAGCTCCCCAGCCTGGTAGTTCAGGCAGCTCCCCAGGCTGGTAGTTCAGGCAGCTCCCCAGGCTGGTAGTTCAGGTGGCTCCCCAGGCTGGTAGTTCAGGTGGCTCTTCAGGCTGGTAGTTCAGGCAGCTCCCCAGGCTGGTAGTTCAGGCAGCTCCCCAGGCTGGTAGTTCAGGTGGCTCCCCAGGCTGGTAGTTCAGGCAGCTCCCCAGGCTGGTAGTTCAGGTGGCTCCCCAGGCTGGTAGTTCAGGTGGCTCTTCAGGCTGGTAGTTCAGGCAGCTCCCCAGGCTGGTAGTTCAGGCAGCTCCCCAGGCTGGTAGTTCAGGTGGCTCCCCAGGCTGGTAGTTCAGGTGGCTCCCCCAGGCTGGTAGTTCAGGCAGCTCCCCAGGCTGGTAGTTCAGGCAGCTCCCCAGGCTGGTAGTTCAGGCAGCTCCCCAGGCTGGTAGTTCAGGTGGCTCCCCAGCCTGGTAGTTCAGGCAGCTCCCCAGGCTGGTAGTTCAGGCGGCTCTCCAGGCTGGTAGTTCAGGCAGCTCCCCAGGCTGGTAGTTCAGGCAGCTCTCCAGGCTGGTAGTTCAGGTGGCTCTCCAGGCTGGTAGTTCAGGCAGCTCCCCAGGCTGGTAGTTCAGGCAGCTCCCCAGGCTGGTAGTTCAGGCGGCTCTCCAGGCTGGTAGTTCAGGCGGCTCCCCAGGCTGGTAGTTCAGGCAGCTCCCCAGGCTGGTAGTTCAGGCAGCTCCCCAGGCTGGTAGTTCAGGCGGCTCTCCAGGCTGGTAGTTCAGGCGGCTCTCCAGGCTGGTAGTTCAGGCGGCTCTCCAGGCTGGTAGTTCAGGCAGCTCCCCAGGCTAGTAGTTCAGGCAGCTCCCCAGGCTGGTAGTTCAGGTGGCTCCCCAGGCTGGTAGTTCAGGCAGCTCCCCAGGCTGGTAGTTCAGGCGGCTCTCCAGGCTGGTAGTTCAGGCAGCTCCCCAGGCTGGTAGTTCAGGCGGCTCTCCAGGCTGGTAGTTCAGGCAGCTCCCCAGGCTGGTAGTTCAGGCGGCTCTCCAGGCTGGTAGTTCAGGCTACTTATATCAGCACCAATGAGATGATTGTGTCTCATAATGCAAGCTTAAATAGCTATAGGTGTGGTAGCTTTTTAACATCCATCTTCATCTTGCTTTTCTTCATCTTTGCTTCATCGTTCTCGTCCCTAACATGTGTTTACTTCTCCCATTCAGGTCTCCGTCGCCAGAGGCTCATGATGTCCCCTTAAACATGGCTGTGGCAGAGGCCTGCCAACACACCTGCCAATGGTTCCAACAAATTGGATTATCTTTCATGGACAAGAAAGACGACTGAAAACAATTCTCTCAAGAACTGAAGACACTATAGCAGGTAAAGTGGGGTAATATATACATGTAGTATAGATGGGGGAATATGAAGCGTCCTTCAAGAATTTCATCTCCTTTTGATTTTTAGGTTGATCCTCCACAATACAAAATACCAGTTTTAGTGGTCTAATTTGTTCCTGTGGTGTTGCATACGAACCTAGTCTGTAAGCATTTTCTAAGTCACTCTCAGTCGCTTGTTGGCATCATAGTCCATGGATGTGTGTGGCTGATTCCTATTATTATTGCAAAGATTCAGCCTTGGTCTCCTTTGTTGTCTCTTGGATTATCAAGGTTCTTATTTAGGATTATCCTCCTAATCTGCTCTTTAATGTTTTGGGAGTTTGTAATTTGCAGCGCAACATTCGCCTCTTTTTTCTTCAACTGACTTATTTTTGTGACCACAATAACTCCTTAGTTTCTTATTGATGCTCATTTACTTAAACCACAAAGTCTGAGAGAAATGCAAGGCTTACAAGCCTTGATTTGCTATTTCGAAGTCTTATAGGCTATTCATTTATTAGTATACAACTGACAAGTCAAAGTCAAAGGAATACGAGTCACCAGTCACGGCAGTGGTCCAGTGAGCCGGACTGTGTTCTTAATACCTGAGTCAACCACGGGCGGCGGCTGCCTCCTTTCTTGTTGACCCTCCACAGCTGGCAATGGCCGCCCACCGCTCCTTTATCACCGCCCACCGCTCCATTATCACCGCCCACCGCTCCATTATCACCAACCACCGCTCCATTATCACCGCCCACCGCTCCATTATCACCAACCACCGCTCCATTATCACCAACCACCGCTCCATTATCACCGCTCACTACTCCAATATCACCAACCACCGCTCCATTATCACCAACCACCGCTCCATTATCACCAACCACCGCTCCATTATCACCAACCACCGCTCCATTATCACCAACCACCGCTCCATTATCACCAACCACCGCTCCATTATCACCGCTCACTACTCCAATATCACCAACCACCGCTCCATTATCACCAACCACCGCTCCATTATCACCAACCACCGCTCCATTATCACCAACCACCGCTCCATTATCACCAACCACCGCTCCATTATCACCGCTCACTACTCCAATATCACCAACCACAGCTCCATTATCACCAACCACCGCTCCATTATCACCAACCACCGCTCCATTATCACCGCCCACTGCTCCATTATCACCAACCACCGCTCCATTATCACCGCCCACTGCTCCATTATCACCAACCACCGCTCCATTATCACCACCCACCATTGCTAGCGCCGGGCCGCACAAGGTTTTGTTCTCTGGAAAACTTAAGATCCTGAGCGCCCATCTGCTCAAATCCTCGTGGTGTTGTGAGGAAGAACACATCAATACTCCAAGACCCAGAGACAATCTTGTTTGGAAGGAAACAATACCGATTTCGTCTACAGATGATGGACAAACAACGTTGTTATATTATTTGCTGCCCAGCTGACTGGTATTTTGCACAAGCCAGTATGCAGGTGACCCAAACTGTTGTATCCTACTCGTCGACCATGACCGATTTTTTTTTGTGAGGATCGTTTCACTGACCAGGTCACTTAGGGTCTTACCCTGAAGGACGAGGCGATACCCGGCGGGCATCGCCTCAAGGGGTCACATTAGGAGGTGTACTGAGCCTGTACTACCAGTCCAGGTGTACAGGGAAAGGTAGACCAAACAGCTCATTTAGGTGTTAGGTTTCCCTGATTCCACCTGGAGGAATCATTTTACAACCTCCGTTTGGGTGGCGGGGGGGGGGGGGAATGATTTTCAACAGGCCTAGGAGTCTCAGGCATTAGGTAGGGCAGTGGATAGGTCCTCACTAAGTGGAGACGTCATGGGGGAAGTCAAAGAGAAAGAGGCAATGGAGACAGCTTTCAAACGAGGAGGAACAGTGGATCGAGGTGCAGCAGGCACCGAAGAAAACTGCTATCGAGGCTTCACCACGTGCTTCTACCAGCAAGACAGCAGACATAATGGACCTAGAGAGGACCGGTCACTCGCCACCCAGTGTCAAACAATGCTTCTCTGTCCACAGCCCAGTCACAGGACAACAGTATGAGACAGGAGAGGACACCACCAGTCTCACACCAGACATCGTCACACTCTGCACATTTTCCAAAATTCAAGATAATGCCGATAGACCACTTTTCTACAACATATGAAGTAGTGAGGCAATGGAAAAGGAACAACCAGAGCTCAAACTTTCCATCACAGTCAACCTGACAGCAGAAATTATAATGACACCACCAGACCAACAGACTCCAAACTACTTGGAAAAAGTAAGAGTCCTGCAAGGGAAACCTGTATGCTTGAAAAGCTGGACCCTTCAGAAAGACGCACACGATTCATGCTTTTGGGATACCCAATTGACCTTCCACTGGATCCAGTACTAGAACACAAACAAATCCTGAATGCGGAACGATGCCGCAGAAAAGTAGACAAAGCAGGGACTCGTCAGGTTCTGGTGACCGTCATGGGACATGTGCCAGAAACATTCAGTCTTGGAAATTGGGGAACATACCGACAGAGACCATACGTCCAGGAACCCCTGCGCTGCCTCAGGTGTCAGACATACGGCCACCATCGATCACGCTGCACAGGACAGGAGAGATGCTGAGTGTGCAGCCTGAGACATCCAACCAAAGACTGTATAGCCAAACACAGGGCAAACCAGACCACAACAGCCAAATGTCCAAATTGTGGAGGCAAACATCATGCCTGGAGAACAACCTGCTCTGCACGGAAAGAAAAAGTGCAGACAGCTCAGGCCAGGATAAACACACAGACCAGCACTACATACACCAACACCAACGTCTGGAACACTCGTGCACAGCCACAACACACACTCACTTTCACAGAACAAAATTTCCCGAATCTATCAATTCCAAATCAGAAAATACACAAAATACTGCAGAAATTCAACAAAAGCAAAAAGCAATTACTTTCGGAATCAACACAACAAATTTACAGTTTTACCACCGAGGTTCAGCTGAAAAACATCGTGAAGATCATGGCAGAGACCATTATCAATTGTCTACAGAGGACGCAGAACGCCTCACAACAACAGACTCAAGGAATCACTTGTGTGATAATGGACAAGATCGTGCAGCAGACCACAGTTACACAAGAAATAGACAGTCTGAGACAAGACGGAGCACAAGAGGACAAACAACGCAACATGGACATACAGACTACCAACAACAGTCGGGTAGTCAAGACACCAGAACATCAACACTCACAAAAGGAACTGCAAGAAACAGTGACCACTCACGATCAACAGAATCTTACAAAACAGACATCAACAACCAATCCAGTCTGATATGCAACAACACCAAAAAAGAAGTATTGAACAGCAGAGATGCACAGGTTCCAACGACACACGAGGCGGACACAAACAATCAATGCAGCCCGATATGCAGCAACATGAACAACGAAATACTGGATGGCAGAGATGCACAGATTCCGACATACAAGAAACGGCCACGAGCAATCAATGCAGTCCGATGCGCAGCAATACCAACAGCAAAGTGACGGACAACAGGGATGCACAGATGCCAACAACGCCGGGGATGACCACGAGCAATCAGTGAAGTCAGATTTGCAGCGACACGACTTGCGAGGCGGAGAATATAGACGTCATTTCCGAAGAAAAGTTCCACTAGAATAGGCAGTACCAACCGAAACCGTCGTCTGGCCATTACGAATACTGCAGTGGAACATTCAAGGTCTTGGAAATAAAAATCACACCCTTCAGGAAGCTGAAATCAGTACGAAAGCAGATATAATCGTTTTGAAAAACTTTTTCCCAGCCATGAAATCCCTCAGGTTAGCTGTATATCAGCAATATATTATACCGTATGAACAGGGGGAGACAAAGAGGGTTAATGACTCTAGTCAGAGACATCATAACCAGGAAGAAAATAGCTCCAGTTTCATGTGGGGATGGAGTAGAGGTATTAGCTGTAACAGTGAATATGGCTAATATTAAGCTCCTCATTGTCTTCAAGTATTCGTACAACGTCTACAAGCCCCCTAGACGTAAACTAGAAGCAGAGGCAGTGCTTGCCTTGACCACGCAGGAAAATGTAATTATTGCTGGGGATTTTAGTGCTCATCATCAAGAGTTAGGTGCGACTGGGCCAGCCAATGCAGAGAGGCGCCATTTAGCTGCAGCTCTGAGAGAAGTACCTGAAATTACACTTCTTAACACTGGGGAACCCAATCACATTCAAGGAGGTTCAGTGGAACCCTCCTTATAATTAATTATATTAATCTCAACAGCACTCAAGCATCAGGCGAAGTGGGAGGTAGACCCGGTGATCACCAGTGACCACTATGCTACTGTCACAACACTAAACATAGAACGACCTCCTACACCACCTGCACAACCCAGGTGGCATTTAAAAAAGGCCAAGTGGAATATATATCAAGAGGAACTTGAAAAATGGTATGCAACATACACGCCACCTGAGGAGTTGAACATGCACGAGACCAATCTCCAGCAAGCCATTGCAGCTGCTGCAAAGGAAGCTATTCTAATCATTATCACAGGAAACACAAAACGAAAGAACTATTGGTTCTATAGCAATGAAGTTAAAAAACAAAACCACAGAGTTAACTTCAGAAAACATCTAAAGAGAAACCCCACACCAGAAGGCAGAACTCTGCTACGAGCGGTGATATCTGAAGCAAGACGAGTTTCTAGAGAAGTAAAGGAGGCAAGATGGTTTGGGTGGTGTCAAACTCTAGATGAACATACTAGTCTTGGCAAGATACAGGGTCAGATTAAAACCATATCAGGTCGACCAGCCAGACCACAAACATGTATTCAACCATTGCAGGAGGTTGAGAGATTTGCTCTCCAATTTGCAGAAAGAACAGCTTCATATCAGCTTCATGCAATGGCCAGAAGGCAGCAAGAACAATTAAAACAAGAGAGGATAACAACCATTCATGAGAACATAGCAACAAATGACGAATGTGACTGTCCCTTCACCAAACAAAAACTAATCAGAACCAAAAAAGGTGGTAAGGACACTGCACCAGGTGCTGATAACATTACATACTTATTGATCGCACACACAGGTCCTGCTGGAGAACAAGGAATATTGTACGTCATCAGTGCATCTTGGCAGCAAGGCCAACTACCGACCTCTTGGAAGAAAGCAAACATCATTCCGATTCCTAAGTCGAAAGAACCTGACAATTACAGACCCATTTCATTAACATCATGCATTAGTAAACCTGCAGAACGGATGATCTTAAATAGGCTACTGTGGAAGACTGGAGACCTTCATAAACACATATTTGGCTTCACTAAAGGAGTAGCAACTGCCAACTGCATAGTAACATTACTAGGAACAGTTAACTTAGGTATGACTATAGTGATCTTCCTTGATCTAGAAAAAGTATCGGAACTTGCAAGCCCGCAAGTAATTTTTCCACACCTTAGTTAAAAAAGGAGTAAAGGGAAATATGCTAGCATGGATTCAAAATTACCTTAGTCACAGGTATGCCAGAGTAAAGTTGCAAGGACAAGTGTCGGACTACCACTTGCATGAGAATGGGACTCCACAAGGAGGAGTCCTCAGTCCTAGTCTTTTTAACATCCTTGTGGAAAACCTTGTTACCATGACATTTGAAGAAAGGGTTAAATTGTTAAACTATGATGATATAGCATTAGTCGTCACAGGTCCTTCACTTTAAAATAAAGCACAAGGGAAATTAGATAAAGTAACGTCTGAATGCAGCATTTTTGGGCTAAAAAATCTGCACAGAAGTCTAAGGCAATGAGACTAGGTGGCAACACTCCAGACAGGAACCTACGCATTCAAGACATTAACCTTCAGTGGGTTACACAATATCAATATCTCGGAGTGTGGATAGATTCTAAAATAACATTCAACAACAAATTCAATATCTGAAGGAGAAAGCAAATTCATGACTGAATATAATGAGAGCAATCACAGGGCCCCGTCTAGGAGCGGGACACAGAGTGTTAAGAATGTTTTACATACACGCCGTTCGTGCCCTAGTTGATTATGCAGCGCCTGCCTTACTCACTCTTTCTCCTGGTCAGTGGACAAACGTTGAGGTTATTCGAAATGATTCAATGCGAGTCATAATAAAAGCTCCCAGATGGAATAAAATACTGAACCCAAGACAAGAAACCAAGCTAACGACGATTGAAATAAGGGGTAAAAGGGATTGTTGCGTGCATGCTGACCAAGATATTGACTAGACCA